AGTGTCAAAACATTGGGAAATGAAGAAGTACTATTGCATAAACGTACAGTGGTATGCATAATGCAAGATAGCGGAGGCAAAACATGATTACATCAAAATACAGATGCCTCCCGATCGCACAGAGAGCGGCAACAACATCCAAATCCACAGATAACAGAAGAACATCACTGTATTTCTCAGTGGCTATTAAAAACAGCAAACAAATCCAGTGAATTCACTCTCACAGATGACTGTCCAAAGCCACATATATCACCATATATCACAGCAGCCTGGTACTTGTCTAGATTTGCCTTTGGCACAACAGTGTAAAGTTCTACATTGGGAATGTTTGAGAAACATCTCCATAGCCACAAACTGATAAAGCACTAACACTGAGGACGTTGCTTAAACTACACCTGCATTGAGAAATATGGCTTTATTGCTTCCAGAAACAAAGATATTATGTAAAATGCATGAATTAATTTGGGTTTCGCTACTTGAGAAAGCCTAGAAAAACAGATCCATGCTCAATGCACTAGCATCAACGATCAACTGCTCCATGCAACTGTTTTGGCACAAACACATTGGAAACGTTCAACAGACTTTACAGCACACGGTGAATCGTAATCAAAACAATGCCATCGCAAGCCTCGTGAACACACCATCTGGGTGAACTTATGAGAGTTATGAACTTCTGTAAGTAGTACGCTTCCTAAGTTGTTTCCTGAAGTCTCAGTTTTCAATTGAGTGGAACATGAGATCTAAATTAAACAAAGCACTGGTGTAACGTCCCAAAATTGGCCTTATAAGTTTAAGAGACACCTGATACACAATTAATTCCCAGGATACTTTAGAAAAATAATATGCACTGGTGACTGATATATTAGATGATATTCAGCGATTCTAAAGCTGATAATTGTGGTTACTTGGTCAATGAACAGAATATTCCAAGAGTCAATAATTTCAAACTAGTGTTGGGGGGAAAAAACAAAAAAAACATCATTTTCATTACTGGGTGGGGGGGGGGGCATTT